CCTGCAGTATATAAAGATATTTGTCAATTCTTTTATATACCTGCATAGTTTTACATTGTATGAATAAACCATAGTTTAATCCATCTCCCATTCTCCTATTGTGTAGCCATTTGAGGTTTTTGTTTGTTTTTTGAGACAGAGTCTCATTTTGTCACCCTCTATATAGAAAACCATAGCATCATAGCTCATAGCAACCTCAAACTCTTACCCTCAAGCAATCTTCTTGCCTCAGCCTCCCAAGTAGCTGGGACTACAGATGCCCACCATGATGCCCAGCTATTTTTTAGAGACGGGTCTCAATCTTGTTCAGGTTGGTCTCAAACTCTTGAGCTCAAGTGATCCACCCACCTTGGCCTCCCAAAGTGCTAGGATCACAGGCATGAGCCACCACGCCAAGCCAGAACTCAATCTCATGTTCTTAAAATCATATTTTATTTCCTATAAGTCTGAATGCTCACTCAGTATATAGCCATTTAAAATAGCATAGGGTGACCAGACGTCCCGGTTTTGGTGGGACAGTCCTGATTTTTAACAATTTGTCCTGTGTCCCAGGGCGTTTTTAAAAAGTCCTGAATTTTGGAAAGAATGCACAAACGGGAGGGAGAACAGTAAGGGAATATACGGTTTTCGGCTGCCATGTGGCTATTTCGCCAGGATATGAGTTTTATATTATTTTTGTTAATTTTACAATGTTAAACTGTAATAATAAATAATTGTTGAGAAGTGATTATCGAGAGCTGCTTATCAAAGTTTGCATTGTTGTCAGGCCCCGCCCCCGCCCCATCCCCCCCCCACCATGGTGTCCAGCTTTACCAATGTTAAAAATCTGGTCACCTGGAGTGAAGTACCTGCTGCAGAACTTTGGGAGCAAATAACTGGGGTGGGCTTGTCCAAGTACCTTGACGAGGCACCCGCGCGCCTTGGAATCTCTGCCAGCCGGTGATTTCCGTGAGCTGCAGGAAAAGAGAGGACAGGATGGAAGAGATGTGGGACAGATGGTGTTGGTCCTCTGACTCCCTAGAACCGGTACACGGGTAATCAGAGTTAGTTCCTGGGCCTGAGTGAAGTAGAGGCACTTTGTTCGCCTGCAGTTACCAGTCTGCTGGGAACAGGACTTCTAAAAGGCAAATATGTCTGGAAGGCTGTGGTCCAAGGCCATTTTTGCTGGCTACAAGAGAGGTCTCCGGAACCAAAGAGAGCACACAGCTCTTCTTAAAATTGAAGGTGTTTATGCCCGAGATGAAACTGAATTCTATTTGGGCAAGAGATGTGCTTATGTATACAAAGCAAAGAACAACACAGTGACCACTGGCGGCAAACCAAACAAAACCAGTAATCTGGGGAAAGATAACTCGAGCCCATGGAAACAGTGGTATGGTTTGTGCCAAATTCCGAAGCAACCTTCCTGCTAAGGCCATTGGACGTAGAATCCGTGTAATGCTGTACCCCTCAAGGATTTAAACTGATGAAAAGTAAATAAAAGTGGATTTATGCTGTTGTTAAAAAAAAAAAAATCTGGTCACCTTAAAATAGCACCATGTAGATGTCAGACCAATTTGAGTGATTTGTATATCCTTAGAAATAGACTAACCAAGTTTTAGAAACTTTTCTTGTATTATACTTATTTTATATATGTACACTTTTTATTTTATTTTTGAGACAGTCTCACTCTGTCACCCTGGGTAGAGTGCTATGGCGTCATAGCTCACAGCAACTTCAAACTTCTATACTCAACCAATCCTCTTGCCAAAGCCTCACAAGTAGCTTTGACTGCAGGCACCCACCACAAAGCCTGGCTAGTATTTCTGTTTTTTTTTTTTTTTTTTTTCCACATCAGTACTTCTAATGTCATATACATCAAATCACAGTAAAAAGACAACCATAAAGAAGATGTGGCCCCCGTTTTCACAAACAGCACAATGTATCACAGTAAACCAAGTTTCTATTCCACCATTAGGTGTGGTTCTCCCATTACTTCACTTTGTGATGGATCATTAAGAATATCTTCAAGTCCAATAGTCTCATCATTACCTCTCAAAATATCCAGTGAAAGGTTTGAACTTGAAAGAAATGGAAGACTCTGAACCTGCTGCACTGCCCTGAATTCCATGTGTAGTTTTAGTGGAGCTATATATAGTGTGTAAATGTGTACTCATCTTTCTTAAATAAATGATAGCGCAGGATGTTTCTCAGTGTGGAAAAATTCATATTATCTTGGTTGAGTTGGAAATTTTTTTCTGATAATTCAAGAGGATGACTAGGCAAAAGTTCATTTTTCACACAAGAGAAACCTTTCTGAAGATCATGACTTTCAAAAGGTCCACTTCCTGAAAGTTCAGTAACTGGAATACTGTCCTTTAGCTGTGATCCAAGTCCTCTGGCGTTCATCTTCATGGGTTCTGCGAACAGTCTCTCAGCTCCATTACCCACAGTCAACCGTGCCCTAGTTTTTCTGTTTTTAGTAGAGATGGATCTTGCTCTTTCTCAGGCTGGTCTCAAAACTCCTGAGCTCAGGCAATCCATCTGCCTTGGCCTCCCAGAGTGCTAGGATTATAAGTATTAGGCCTATACGTGTATGTGTGTGTGATGTATTTGTTTTTAATTACATATCATTTGATACAAAATCAGCTTGTTTAAAATTTGAAGCACTTTAAATTGTCTAACAAGAAAGCTACATTTCCTGTACATGACAAAACCTGGTGGCATATAGGCTGAGAAAGTATTATTATTTTTATTTATTTATTTATTTATGTAGAGATGAGGCCTTGCTATGTTGCCCAGGCTAGTCTGGAACTCCTGCCCTCGAGCAGCCCTCCCATGTAGCATTCCAAAGAGCTGAGATTACAGGTATCAACCACTGTGCCCAGCCAGAAAAAACATTTTTAAAACTCACTGTCCTTACTGGTAGGGCAGGGACAAAGTATAAAATGGTAGAGCAGTAGTTCCCTTAAAAGCAAAGTCTTACTTAACATAAAGAATACATGAATTTAAAAAGTGTTTTAGAATAATGCTTGGCACATGTTAAATACCATATGTTTTTGCTGTTACTATTTGAAAAAAAATCAGATAATAATCCTATTTTAGCATATCACTAATGGAACTTGTAAAAATTCTTACAATAGCATCTTTAAAATTATTTTAAAAGCATATAAGTCGGGCAGCACCTGTGGCTCAAAGGAGTAGGGCGCTGGCCCCATATGCTGGAGGTGGCGGGTTCAAACCCAGCCCTGGCCAAAAAAAAGGATATAAGTCTTTAAAACACACTTGTTTCCTTGTGATTCATATTACTTAATTCTGATGATTTTATGTGTCTGAGCATGTTTATTTCGACGGCATCATCCTTCATTTAATTAGTTCAAGTTGAGTCAGGATTTAATGATCCCCTCCATCGTGCTCTAGACAGACCACCAGAACCGAGGATGGCAAAAATTGAAGACAATGGGAGATAAGCAATCAATTAATTATGATAACATAAACAAGCAATTCAAATAATTATAAAATAACGCAAGCATAAAAATTAAACTGCCTTGGGATTTACATACAAGTAAAAGCGTACTATTTTAAAGTGTGTGTGGACTCCAAAGTGTCCTCACCCCCGCTCACATAGAGTGTCTTCTGTCTACTACGTTCAGTTCTCAAAATTGAAACTTACAGTAGCAACCTTTGCTCGAAATAGGAAAACAGTAAAAATCCTGCTCAATGTAAAGCCGAAAAGAGCAACAGTCAGGTTTTCTATCCACCCTATCCTAATGTCTTGTAAGCGCCTTATTGTCTCCCACGGAGGAAAGGGTTGCTGAGATTGAGATGGGGAGTGGTCCGGCGTCCTTACGCTGTTTGTCCTTTTAGCTTTTTTAGCCCTGGTTAGGAAGCTGGGTCACAGACCGTCACACTACCCTTAGCTGGAGCACGTGAGAAGCAGCGGATGATGCCTTCCCAGCCCCCTCTGTGCGACCCCGACAGGGTCTGCGTCGCGCCTGGCACCCGGCCTTCCCGGGTGTCGTCCCCGGTCCTGCCCCCAGGGGGTCGAGCCCGCCCCCGGCCGACCAAGGTGTCCCGGCAGCTCCTTGGCGCCCCCTGGCCCGGCTCTGGCGCCCGAGGTTTCCGGTGAGCCGCACTCGCCGGTTATGACGACTCCCTCCTCCCGAGCCGCCGCCGTCTCCTCCGCCTCCCCGGTGGCCCCGGCTCCCCAGCTCCAGGTGGGACTCGCCCGCGCCGCGTCGGCCCCTGCCCGCTCCGCTTCCCGCCGCGGCCGCTTCCCGAGGGCTGCAGCCTCCCCCGGACCCCGCCCGCCCTCCGCGCCGCGGGCCGCCAGGCGGGCGTCGGAAGCCGGCCCCGGCCCCCTCCCCGGCTCCGGCTCCGGCCCCGGCGGCGGCGCGCGGAGTTCCCGGAGCCCTCGGCCACCCGGCCCGCGCCGCGGGGACTCGGTTTCTCAGGTCCGGACCGAGCCGCTCCCCGGAGCCCCTCGCGGGCGCGCCGGGAACTCGTGACGCCGCAGAGCAGGGTGGCGGGTGGCCCCGGGGATCTCTGCGCCCCGAAGCAGTCCCGGGCGGCGCCTGGGGTCGCCCACTCCACGCGTGGTGTTGGCTGCGTCGCAGCGCTGGCCGGCTGACCCTGCAGCACTGGCCGGCTGACCGTGAGCGCAGAGACCTGGGGGCCCCCCTCGGCGTCTCGGGCAGCCTTTCCCAAGCCCTGAGACTTGATGGCGGTTTAGGAGTCATTCTGAGTCTCTGACGTGATGATCTTTTTTTTTCATTTGTCCCTGCCTTATTCAAACTTTTCCAAGCCCTGTCATAGAAGACCATCTTGTCATCCCCAGATGTCCCTCTCAACCTGATTTTAAAAGAACAAATTTATTTATTTTTGTATAAATTTATGGAGTACAAATGTAATTTTGTTACAGAGATTTATTGCTTAGTGATGAGATCAGGACTTTTATATATCTGTCCTTGGAGTAACATACATTGCATCATCTTTCAGAAGATACTTTTGTCCACCCTTACTTTTAGGCCTGTGGAAATCTATTCAAGGGTACAAGAGTGGAGTGAGCCCAGCTGCTTTGTGCTGAAGGAACAAGTAGCAAGCATCATTGGAAAGCCTTCCTTGAGCTGGAGAAAGGCATCCACCCAACCTTGCGGGCCTTGCAGGGGATCGACACTTGGAAGGCTCCTGCCTGGCTCCAGGGTTGTGCTTTCACGCCCGAGCAGCCGCCCTCATCCACCTTATGCAAGTGGGTACGTGCCCTTGGCGGAAGCCAGGTTCTAGTGCTTCTGAACAGTCTTCTCTTCACCTAAGCTGTACTTCTTGGGGGATCAGTGAGTGTAGGTATGTCCGGAGCTCAGTGGAAGACAAAGGACTTGGGTAACTAAAGGCCAATACTTGGTGATAATGACTTTATTACTGGAAGAAAGAGTCAAAGGACAGGCCGTCTACCTGTGAACTCTCTAACTTGTGCTGCTCTGTGATTCCAGGAGCAGAATTACTTTGTTCGCTCCGAGGAATATTTGATTGCTGGCTACCCTGTGGGTCTGTACCAGTGGATGCCTGTATCAAGTGGGCCACCTCCTTCCCGCTCTCCGTTGGAATCTGGCCTGTACTGGGTTATGTACTGGGGGTCATGCCTGTAACTTAGCTTTCAGCAGTGTGGTAGTAAGTAAGGAAATGAAAGAGCATCAGGAGGCTATCCTGTCTTCTCTCTTAAGATTTCTTTTAATTAGGCTCGCCGCCTGTGGCTCAACTGGCTAAGGCACCAGCCACATACACCTAAGGTGGCAGGTTCAAATCCCCAGCCCGGCCCGCCAACCAACAATGATGGCTGCAACCAAAAAATAGCCAGCGTTGTGGCGGGTGCCTGTGGTCCCAGCTACTTGGGAGGCTGAGGCAGGAGACTGGCTTGAGCCCAGGAATTTGAGGTTGCTGTGAGCTGTGATGCTACAGCACTCTACCCAGGGGGATAGCTTGGGTAGAGCAAAAAAAAAAAGATTTCTTTTAATTAAAAATATCACCTGAATGATAAATTCTGCTGTAGCATCCTTTTCAGTTAACATGTTTCATTTCTGACAGGTTTTAAGAGACCTGAAAAATCACAGAAGCTTCTGGGTGGCTCTGCGGATTAAAGAGGTTAAGTATTTTAATTATAAGTAGAGTCATTGTTACTATTAATATGTATTTTTAAATTTTGGCTAGCAACTAACTCTTATAAAAATCACAATGAAAAATAGTAACTCAGATCAGATTTACAGCAGATAACAACATACTCTTTAAACATACTTTTCAAAACCACTTAAGTGAAAAAATCACTATATTTACTGCTCTGGGGAGGGAAAGAATTTCTTCCTGAAGTCCCCACTATTCAGTTACTACATATGATCTCATGGCTTTGGAACTGGAGGTTTGGTTAAATATAGCAGTTTATTTCTAAAGGTCCCACCATGATAGCCCATAGTTGTGGACTGATTTAGAAAGCTGGCTTTCCAGTGTGACCCAGTGGACAGCAGACTTTGCTGAGGAACATTCAGTGAGTATGATGGCTCTGTCATCCAGCGGAAAGATACCACTAAAACGAACAGAGAATGACATGACTGTTGTCTAGAATATAGAGAAGAATTCTGGTCCAAGAGATTTAACCCTCACTGAATTAGGGATGCAACAGTGTTCATGACCATGATCACTTTGTCCAAGGTAAGGCAGGAGAGGGGAGAATTAGGGGCAGAATCTTTGAAGCAGAGCGCTTGATTTCACTCCTGGCGTTTCTAAATCTTAGTTATTAACATCAGTGATTATCACGCCCACGAGAGTGGAAGCTTCACAACGGCAGGCAGTGAGTTCAGTTCACCACTGCCCCTTCTTTGCTACTTCCCGGAACACGGTATGTACTCATGTGCTAATTATGATTATTATTCTTTATTCAGCAGGCAGGCTCTTGCTCAGAGTCAGTCTACAGTATCTCCTATTCTCTCTCCCCTGGTGCATCTTCCTCACGCCTCATCATTCAGGTCCAGCTCAAGTGTTAGTTAGGCCCTTATAGGGAAATCTGTGACCTGATCCTTAGCATAAGACTTGCTTTCTGTTTGAGAGAGAATGGCATGTGAGTTATGTATATGCAGGAGATTAGGGACTGGCCTCTAAGAGAGAATGTATATGGGAGGTGTGGCAATTCCAGGCCTAATGGTTATAGTAACGATTCTCTGGATTCCTAAGGTCTGTGGTTTTGCAAAAACAAGTTGGAGACATCGTGTCAGACACTTTCTATGTTCCCCATTTTTAGTGCAGATGTCTGATAAGTAACTTTTAACTACTTTTTCTCTGGAGGACTCCTCCCTCAGTTCCTCAGTCCCAGACAACCCAGACTTCCTGTCAAGCCTCTTCATTCCTTATGCCCAAACTCCTCAGGCCCTCTCTGCCACAGGTGGCTTTAAACAGCTATTTAGTGAACACAGAGCACTGAGAGTGTGCCCGATACTTTCTAAACACTTTACCAATAATTAACTCATTTAACACACAGAAGCCCTATGAGAAGGTTTATTATTTCCATTTCACTGGTGGGAAAGCTGAGATGAAGAAAGGTTAAGTAACCTGCTCAAGGTCATGCAGGCAGGAAGCTGTAGACTGGGATTCAAACCCAGGTGGCTGGACTTTAAAGGTCAGATTTGCCGTGCTGTGTACTTTATCATTTTACCTCATTTTATTTTAGGCATCAGAAAACTGGATTATATCAGTGCCCTCCCCCATTTTTGAAATAAATTTTTGTTTTGCTTTTTGAGACCGACTCTCATTTTGTCACCCCCAGGTAGAGTGCTGTAGCATCATAGCACAGCAACTTCAGTCTCTTGGGCTTCAGCATTTCCCTTGCCTTAGCCTCTCAAGTAGCTGGAATTACAGGCACCCACCACAACACCCAGCTATTTTTAGAGACAGGGTCTTGCTCTAGCTCAGGCTGGTCTCGAACCTATGAGTTCAGGCAATCCACCTGCCTCGGCTTCCCGGAGTGCTAGTATTATAGGTGTGAGCTACTGCACCCGGCCCCTGAAATAAAGTTTTAATGGAACACAACCTCATCCATTCCTTGACAATAGACTTTGGCTATTTTCTGGACAAAGGCGTTGTTGAGCAATTGTTCTAGCAGCCCTTGGTTTATTTGATTCATAGCCCTATCATCATCTGAAGGTGTTTATTCACTTGATTTTTTTTCTATGTGACTCTCATATTATGTTATATGCTCCATAAGAGCAAGGCTCTCTCTTGTTTTGTCCAACTCTGTATACCTAGCTCCTAACACAGTGCCTGGCACATAGCAGGTACACAATAAATATTTGCTTGATAAAAGAACATTACTCAGTGATGAGCGAAGTACTTTGGAATTATGCTTGGCTCTTCTCCCTTTTTGTTGACTGTTAAAGGAAATTTCTTAACAAAGATGTTTTCAATTTGATCTCTAGGTTTGGAGGTTGCTATGTTAATGCTGCTTGTCTTTGGAGTATTGCTTCATAAAGTCCCACTCAGTGGCCAAGATCAGACTCCTCCTGAGACTGGAGAACCTCTGTATAACTATGCCAGCATCCACTTGCCAGAGGAGCATATTCCCTTCTTTTTGTACAACAATAGGTATATTGCCACCATCTGTAAGAAAGACTCACAGTGTCCGTATAAGGTAGGTATTATTTCTTCTTTATTTTATAAAAGGATGCAATTTAGGCTGACTTACTTGTTCTGCTTTTTAACTGGAAGCTGCAGGTGGAATTCTAACTTCTGGTTGTCACTGTGAGTCAGTCATTGTTCCCTTTCATTTATTACTTCTAAGTGACTAAACTTTGCTTAAAATTATATCCCATTCACAAGACTGAAATTTAAAAATCTAAATCACTTCTGAAATAAACAGGCAGCCAGTACTATTTATATACTCTGTAAATGAGGCAAATTAGATTTTATGCAGAAAAGAATGGTTAAAAGTAACAAACATTTTACACCTCTTCTTTCTTAAACTATACATAAGAGGGTCACTAATTTCAGTGTTAACACCTCAGCCTCTGTTTCCACATAACGTTACTGTGTCCTTCCTTCTGTCTGGGAGGAGTTGGAAGGACCTCAGAGAGGAGCCCATTAAGAGGTCTCACATGGCCTTAGAGATCAAAGCTGGGCATTGTGAGATGCTTCCTTTCCCATGGTGCTGGCACAGGAAGCATATGGAAAAGCAAACCTGGGAATCAGCCGGCATTGCCCCTGGGGCCTTGTAGAAGAGCGCTCTCAGCTCCCTGGCTAACAGCCACTATATGTTTCCCAGGGGAGGCCGAGTTGTCATGTCTTGTGGGATCTTTGCTAAACTTGATTAATGAGTAAAGTTGCTGACCCGTTCAATTTAGCTGTGATTCTTTCGGTAACAGAAATTCAAATTTATATGCCTTTTTAGGCACTTATTTTTAGAATCAGTTTGCTCACTCAGGCAGTTTCTTTAGCTACTTGAAGAAATTTTTATTTTTTTTATTTTTTTTATTTTGAGACTGAGTCTTACTTTGTAACCCTTGGTAGAGTGCCTTGGCTCATAACTCACCGCAACCTCAAACTCTTGGGCTCTTGTGATGCTCTTGCCTCAGCCTCCCAAGTAGCTGGGACTACAGGCACCTGCCACAATGCCAGACTATTTTTAGAGACAGTATCTCACTCGAGTTCAGGCTGGTCTGAAACTCGTGAGCTCAGATGATCCACACACCTCAGCCTCCCAGAGTACTGGGATTACAGGCACGAGCCACCATGCCTGGCCATAAGCGGTGTTTGGTAGTCTAGGTGAAGCCCAGGTTTTTGGTTGGGGCACAGACACAGTGTGGGTGGTGAGTAGGGATCATTGCTAAGGACCTTGAGCCCACTCTCCTTAGAATTTACTCTAGTTATTTTATTACAAGGACATATATTGTAAAATGTAAACATGAAAGTTATATAAAGATTTTGTTTTCTTAGTGGAAATGTCTTAAGAATCCTCTCTAAATGTGAGAAAACAGTTTAAATATACACATTTTATGTTCTAGAAACACTCAGAAAATCTAAAGTATTGCTGGGGTTATGAAAAATCCTGCAAACCAGAGTTCAGATTTGGTTACCCTATTTGCAACTATGTTGACATGGGATGGTAAGTTTCCAGATGCAGTATCCTCTTTTTTTTTTTTTTTTTTTT